CTTTTTAGAAGTAAACTTAAACGACTAACAACTTACGCCGGAATCGATAATTTCGACTATTAAACTTCCCAATTCCTATTTTCGTGTAACATTTAGTAAGTTATAAGCTATTCACAGTTCATCTCGAATAATAAAAGCTACTTTTTAATATATTTGCTCTCTCGGTTTGATTTTCAGCGAGAAAGTTCGGAATCGCCAAAATGCGTAAATTACGTCATACGCACAATTACAGTAAAATATTACCCAACTTTATCGAACTCTTGTGCTTCGGAATCAACAGTGCCCAAAAATGTTTTTCTTGATTTTGATACACTAGCCTTATTACTGAACAGGGAGAGTGACCAAGACTCCAGATAAGGTCAGACTTTTGAAAAAAGCTTATTTTAAAACTAGGATAAGCGCGCATTTTTTTCAAGGACGCTTTACGTGGTTTTTCAAAACATCATAATTCCTTTTTCGGAGGGTCAGAATTTAAATATTTTGCCTTTTCTGAATAAAGGAAGCATGAATTAAAATCATGCTTTTGTTTTATGCTATTTGGATAAATGCGAAATTTTTGCGAGCCTTGAACAAAACGCGTAAATTTGACCTTAAAAAAGACGATCATGACAGCTTTCGACCGCCCAGGAAAAATCGCCGCCCAAATTTTTTTTAAAAGCACTATGAGCCAAACAAATTCGATTTTTGTTAATAGAATGGACTAATTATGTCGCAGAAAAAAATGAAGGAATTCTGTTTTCCGCGGAAATTCGATTGGTAGGTTCTTATACGGACCGCCTCTTAATTGTTCATTTTTTGAAATTTTATATTAGAAGTAATGTGCTTAATATTTACAGTTTAGGATTTTTTAGGGTATGAAAGGCTTGTATGGGTATGGTAAGTAACTGCTTAATGTAAAATACTCATATGTTTCTCCAAAGTAACCCTCCTGCTGATACAGAAACCAATATTTTAGAGTTGTGTCGACTGTGTCAAATAGATCTAACATATAACCTAATACATATTCAAGTGAGATTCACCATGCCATTATTTAAGTGCACCTTCTTACTCTGCTTGACAGGGCCTCAGTAATTCTTTGCTATTTATTTACGCACTCATACAAACTATTCATGACAGCAGACCGCCAAGAACACAAGTGACCAAACATGATCAGGCATTAAAGATAGCTCACACGAACTCACAAACTGTGCGTCAGCTTGGAATGAGGTACATACAGTAATCATACATTCAAGGACTTTACTCGTTGCTGCTCGAAATTCAGTGCTCGTCATTATTACAAGACTTTAAGTGTTTCAGGAATGTGATGGTTGCTTTAATAAGAAAATCATTCCTATTTAGAGTACTTCATCCTCCAATTTGTGCAGGTATCAGTGTACACCATGCCACTCGCTTGCTTCGCTCAGTCTTGTAATCAGTCCTACACCATATCCTCGGAAAGAAAGCCTAGTCGCTGTAGCAGTATTAAGTGGTTCTTTACAAGCTTCATTTCGTGTGCCTGGAGATCTTGCAAGAGAAGACGATTTCTGCGAAGAAATTGCACTTATTGGGCTTGTTTCGAACAATTAATGCGCAAACATACACCAGAGATTATCTGAAACACATCTCGGCTGTGAAGTCGGCCCTTTGGGCCACTAAATTAAAATAAAATGGCTTGTTTTTTACCCGGCCACGAAGGCGAGCCATGGTGCGCGTACGAAGTCACGTGCCTCTTGTTCCAACTAGTTCCAGAACTTTATGCGGTTCTCGGCCACTTTTTAAATCGAGTAATGGCGGCAAAGCAAACCTGAACTTTACGTTTGAAATGAGTGGTCTTTCCATTGGAATTTTGACTTGAAATTTGGCGAGTTAAGTATTTATTGCTTTTACCTTCCAAAGCTGAAAAGAAAAGGGCAACCAATATTTTGACCATAGTAGCACCTTAAGTGAGCTATTTAACAATTATTCGCCGAAGGCGAAGTTAATATTTTTGAATAATCCCCGAGACGAAGTCGAGGGGATTATTCAACAATATTAACTGAGCGTGAGTTGAATAATTGTTTTAGTATATTCACAAGAAGTGATCTCAACAGAATCAGAAAGGAAACTATTAAAAAAACGATTAGTTTGATTGACGGGTGAATTCATGCGTGAACACGAACCCGTAAACAGTGGATGCGCAAAAGTTAGATCTTTACAGTATCTTCAAACATGGTAGTTTCAATCTTTTTGTATCGAGTTTTGTATGCTTTAGCATCAACGGTTTAAAAAAGAACACCGAAAATTTAAATTACCACCCAATTTTGAGAGGAAAAGTAGAGCTTTATTTGTTTCTGTCAACTCACCGTGAATAAGAAAGTTTTCTTTGTCGCTTCTTGCAAATGATGTCAACAGCGGTTACGACCAAGGTGAGCGTTGTTTATCTCCAAAGTTCTTGGCCTTGTTAACTTGCTGGCACGTACAATTTTCGAAAATATTGGTCTTCATCTTTTCTCCATAAATTAACTTCTATTTATAGGCAAAATTGGTCTTCCGAGAAAATCCCGAAACCACAAAACAGTGACAATCAAGTGACCTCGTTTTCCTCTGTAGTAGTAAACATAGCTTAGAGCGTACAAAAAGTCAGCCACAGTAAACCACTTCACAACAAATCACGCTGTTTAAACACCACGAAGTCTTTTCTTGCCTCAAAATCATCAGCACTTGGATATTGGTGTATTTTTAAAAAGGTTTTACTCTGAAACTTTAGCAAAACAGCCAGTTCACGACAGCGATTTTGTTCTGCTTTATATTCACCGCCTAGCACGGTGAATATAACGTCATAGTCCGAGATAGCTAACCAATCAGATCGCTTGAATTACCAAGATCACTGAGTGTGTATATACTGAATATCAATATACACCGCGAGCGGTCGTCCTTTCTTCCTCAGAGCCACGCGAGGCGAGCGAAAAGTTAGCATTATGCAAATTACTGGCCAAAGTGAGGAAGAGATTGGGGCGGGGAGAGGAAAAAGGACGATCGCGGAGGTTTTATTGTATTTTGAATTACAGTTTCAGTGAAACGGAAATTCCGATTGGTCACCGACTTGCAAATCTGTCAACAACAAAAACCTCTCAGTCCCGAAAGAGTCCAATTTTCACGGCGGCTTTTGCAGCACATGGCGAACAGACACTTTCTGTAAACTGCACTCCAGTTTCCAAATGGAAGCCCAGGTCTTCAAGGAATCCAGTTGCTTTTGTGGAACCTGGACTATATTCGAGGTCAAAATATTTCCTCTCAGTCGCACCATAGAAATTTTCAGTACGTGACAATGAGAAGACAATTTCAAATAGTTGGCCTGGTCTGTAATAATGCGAGGCTTCTTCCCTTTTGTTTTCTTTCTCGCTTGCTTTGAGAAACCCTATGTTATGGGGGGGTTTTCAGGATTTATTAGGCCACCATTATTACAATTCATAAATAACTGGAGAACTGTGTCCCGAAACAAACTGTAGTTAACGGACTTAAGTCCCGTTTAAGGCACACTCAAGAATCTCTGTTGCTGCTCTCTGTCGCTGATAAAGACAAGGATTACCTCATTTTGAGGTTGTCAATATTCAGTTGATCGAAGAAGTGTCCACGACAAGCCGGCACTATTAGATAAGAAGGTCTGGGTCTATCCTAAACTCTTTAGAAAGCTGGTTTACTGACTTCGAACAAACAAAACTGAATCGTAGCCAACAGTTACCGGCACCCGTCCGTACAAACGAATTATTGACGGACTCAGTGAAACAATGTACAAGTAGTATCCGACGAAAATGCCAACGTCAAGCGCCGTGTCAAGAAAGCCATTGCTAACAAACAAAGAAAACACTCTGTATAGAGACGAGGGACCAGACTGGCCCTGTCGGCAATCTAAAGTCCTACTATTGGGGTCCGACAACTTTTCTGTTACGCAATCTGGTACTTCACAACGCTGATTAAGTTCGAGCGAATCGGACGAAATATTCGCTTTGTTTACTCGTAGTTTTGCTCTGAGTTTTGGAATTTTCTAGTTTTTAAACCGCTTTCTTATCTTTAAGGTTGTACTTACCATTGATTTCACAAATGTAACCAAAACGTGCCTTGCATGGATAATCATGCCATTTCTTTGACGATATTCTTAATACACCACAATCCTCGCCTCCATGTTGAAAGTTCGGTTGAGAAATACCCCATGTAGAGAAGGTAACGCGTAACCCACCAACCCAAAGCCACCTTGGCTTGTATGTAGGATCTCTGTGTAAGCCAATCCATAAATTATCTTCTTTGTATGCAGCTGCTGCACTTGCAGGAACATCTCGTAATTTAGCTTTCGAATTCAGTACAACGAGGTTTGATCCCAGTGCTTCACACGCGTATTTTGCTGAATTCCAGTCCGAACGATTGAAGAAGACTTTGAAACATTCTCCATGTAAACTCAGAACCCAATCTCGTGGACATCTTGGCCCTAAAAGGTAATTAGAACAGTTGTTATTTGTGTAACTAGTGCGGTTGCCTTCGAATAGAAGCAAGAGTTGGAGCTAGGGAGCACAGCTAACACAGAAACAAAACGATGCACTATCTTTGCGGAATAAAAATAACATGCGTTCAGTTCATTGTTCTGAAGAATCGAGGAAGGCGGAAGGCCAACTGTTGTTCCTGGAGTTGACTTTGTTTACGTGTTGGACCCAGACGCTGCGTTAAAAGCGAAGCTCTCGTTTCATACTGTACTAAACTTATAATTTACTAACACAAAAATAAAATCGTGTAATGCTCAACTCGGTGACGGCATTGAAACAGCAAAAAAAATAAAACAACAATAGGTCTAATTAGCAAAAACTAACTTTACACGTTCAGCACACTTTTCTTTCTTTGCCATTGTTGGTACACGACTTGCCTAGTCCCTAGGCCTCATTTTTCCTCGCGGCCAAAGCGTTTCCGGTCACGTGATCCGTGCGAAAATGTGAGGCCTAGACAAAAATCTTCAAAAGTGAGACAAAAGTGAGACAGCCCGTTTTGACGGCAAAATGGCGGAAGGAGGTGTGGAACCGGTAAGTTCTAAAACAGTCTGCATATCAAGACTTTCCGGGCTTATGCTTTGTGTATAACAATTGTTGAATATGTTCTTCCCAATGTAAATGAAAGGATCCTGAAGTAGAAACACAGATTTTATCCAAGAAACGCCTTTTCTCAGCAGAAGGTAAGCAAATAAATGTTAAGGTGCGGACGCCTAAGGGAAATTTCAGCTCGTAAGCAAGAAGTAAATTTTCCCTTTTTTATCGAAGTGTCGTTTTCAATGTTGCCTTATATGATGGTAGTCACTGGGCCGCTGTTTTATTTCATCGATTCAGGTAGCGAAATATAAGAATTGACAGAACAGATTAGTTTGCTGAAAACACCGTCGAAGGAAGAAGGTAAGATGTCTCTTCCAGCTTATTATATATTCAAGCGCATTGATAGGGGGAATTGTCTCCGTCTGTAATCCGCTAAACATTACGGAATCGCGCCTGTAGAAACGCGTCGCTAGTAAATGCAAATTTTTCTGTCAATCAAATGTGTCCTATTATTTGTAGGTGGAAATCGGTGAAACATCGTTATTGTTGTGGAGACAATAGAAGAACAAAAGATAACAGAAAGATCAAGTTATGCGGTCTTAAAGGGTGTTGCGTGACTTAAATCAGCTGCAGCATTTCTCCTAACTTTCCCGCATTAAAACGTTGGAATGAAAAGTCTGAAGCTTAGCTTTTAAAATCTTGATAGCCAAAATAAAAAGGGTGCCCCAAAAGGCAAGCATTTGGGAATTCAAAATCGATATTTTTGTCTCCAACGAAATCCGGCGGATGAACAGTAATTTGCATATAAGCGTAAGTGAAGCGAAATAGATACAAATTGCCGTGGTTGTAAACACAATGTTTCCTCGATGTTTTTTCCTTTTGAAAGCGTAAATTCGCATGAAAGAGCTCACCTTGCACAAAATAATATAAAATGAAACGAATCAAATCGAAAAGTGGTAAAGAAAAGTCAGGATATTTCAGTTTGATGGAAAGTAAGTGATTGGGTAGGTGATTTGCATACTGATAAAAACAACGTCTAGCGCAGTTCAAAACCGTTCGGCTTCCTGAATTGTTTTTCTGGAATTCTATACATTCTGCTGGCCTAAATCATTAAAATATCTTATGAAGTCAAAATATTTATCAAGTTGAGGGTTTGCATTTCCTTAGAAAACAGAGAGTAGCGCGAAAGCTTCGATCTATAGATTTTCTTAAGTTAAATTACCTTTGTATCGTGGAAACAATACCCTAACACTTGAGTCTTGAATCAAAGGACGCGACATGCGTCGGCTTCCTTTGTGAGCGCGCAAATAGTCATGGGACCCGCGATTTTGCGGGCGACACGGATCTACAGGCGCCGTTCCAGCCTCCTCCTCAGGCGCTTCGTTTTTCGCATGGCAGAGGCGAGCGCGAAACGAGTGACAGGTGATGAACCGCAAGGGACCATGGGAAGGGTACAGACGGCAGGCGAAGCGCCTGCCGGATCTTGTGTCGTTTTCTTGGCAAAAAAGTCGTTTTCTTGGCACCGCCCAATTTTTGGTCTTTTTAAGTCTTGGAAGCGATCAATTTTAGTAGCATATTGTTGTAAACATTGTAAACTTTGAGTAGACAGGTGAATGGCTAAAAATTTCAAAACCTGAGGTAGAAATAACCGACAGGCTGCAAAGGAGTCGGATTCTGCTGGATTTTTGCGAATCGAAGACCTCTAACAAAATATTGATGACTTGACGGTATCGGGTAAGTCTTATATTTTGGTATTTAACTTGTCGTTTATTGCAGAATTCGGATTAGTAAAGTACAGCGCCGGCGACTATGTTTCTATTTTTCGCTCTTTTAGGCGAAATCCACCGAACAACGAGCAAGTAACCTTGTGAATTGAAAGAAGTGTAAGGCCTAGCTAGATTGTGCAAGGTCAGGAGTTGATTATCAAGACCACATTATGTCCTTACACCAAGATTTAAGTCTGCGACGTTACTAACTATGAAACCACAGAATAGTAAGAACAATAAGAATAGTAACAGAGACGGGAGGATTCACAGTCGCTTGGTTCGTCGCCATGTTTGAGAACCTGACAAAGAGTGTGTTGCATATGGTTTATTGCCTTATTTGGAAATTCTCAAGGGGAGGTTGAAGGACATTATTTTTGCCAGGCAACTCAAAATGGCGCACGAACTGCTATCGTCTTTGCCTGTCAATCAAAAACGCACATTAAAGAGTTCTGGATTCTTATTTTAGAATATAATAACTCACCGAGGGCACCCTGGAAAAGGTGTGCAAAAACCGAACCAAAATCGAAATGCGGAAGCAAAGAATCCTGAATGGAACTGAATGGTCATAATCACGATTACGGTAATCGAGAATTTGATTAATTGTTACACTACTAATTTTATTTAGCCAAATGTCTGGCATGATGGCACCCCTATTGCAAGACTAAAAATGTTTGAATAAAGGTTGAATAAAGTATATAGGTCAGTTAAAACACAATGATTCAATGACCACACTATTACATCTCATTCAAACTCCAGGTCTGTGGTCTCAATGTAACTTTGTTGGGACACACAAATGTAGAAGAAGGGGAAAAGGCTTTTTTTTTTTTTTTAACAGAAGTCAGTTCAATGACAACATGCCCATTCAATAATCTCAGTAGCCCATGTACAGCAATTTTTTTCTGAGGGGAAGCGGCAACTGTACACATGCTTTTATCACAGTATTAGTTCAAAAAAATACACATCAACCCAATTTCCATTGTATAAAATAAAGGAATTATAGGAGCAAAGTATTTTATTACTTTGGACAAGACAGCTAGATCGAGTTTAAGTTGGATTAGGGGTGCAGGTTTTCTCTTTTGCTGACCATAGTTCAATGACCTGACCACATCTCAGTTCAATAATCACGACAGAAGTTCATAAAACATTCATCAACTCAATTTCCAGTGGCACTAATTTAAGGAATAGGAGCAACATTTTTTATTTCTCTGGGTGAGGTGGAAGCAATGGAAAGGGGTGAGGGTTTTGCATGGCTGAGCTTCTGGTCCATACTTCAAACAGCTGGCATTTTTCATTGCTTGACACTGTTAATAGACCTGACATCAGCCTACTAATAGTGTAGTGTAGTGTTTTTTACTGCATATTCTTCCAGTTTGTCCAGGACCTGTTTTTACTGTTCTTTCCATTGCACATGCTTGTATCTTGATTATAATTTTGTAGTTAAAATTTCTAGGAAGGGGGTTGGGGGTTAGTAGTTATGCAGAACCATCTATACTTATCTTAACGTTTTTTGCATTTCAAGGTAATTCTGTGTCCATTGATAATTATTAGATGATCTTGTATTCCTCTGCAACTCCAAAGCAGGTCAAAAACTACCCCTTCAGAAGACTTTTGAGGGGAATTTTATGCTACCACAGGTTTGCCATGAAAGGAACCATGTATAAGCAATCACAGGAACAGCAATGTTGAATCTGGGTAGAATGATCCCAAGAACTTCATAATACTCAGTCTTTCCTACCACCTGTTTGCATTAGGATAATGCAATCATTATTCTCTAAAATGGCATTCACAGCATCTTGTTTGCCATGAAATTTGAAATATTCAAACACAATTATTTTTTTTAAAAAGTGTCTAGGGCAACGTCTCCTGCCTGGCCAAATGGTAGTTACGATGGTATCTCATCAACTACATCACCCTCTTCGATCAGGGTAACAAAATTGTCTATCAAATTAAAACCAAAGTTACCAATAATCTATTTATTAAGACACAAATGATGTGTTATAAAAGAGCATAACAAAACCAAATTGGTCTACTGTGTAATATCACAAAAACAAATAAAAAACAATACAGACAATAAGTATTTGGTGCACATTCGACACAGCTTCATCATAAAATGAGGTATATAAATAAAAAGTAAGTAGACTTTATTTACACTGGGCTGTGCATTCAGTGACAAGTCTAGTACCCAGTGAGGTAATCGAACAATAAAAAAATACAAGTAAAAAAGAAAAAGAACCTTAAGCTAGTTTTGTGGCTGTTTTTCCTTTACGTAAATAAGCTTACATGGTCGAGCAAATGATACACAATGGAAATCCTGAGACAAAAATTTAACAGATTTAAAAAATATTTTATAATCTATTTCATAACATAACTTAGAGGTCTTGAGACTAGACTGGTTTGTTGCCTTTTCGAGTACTCAAGATAAAGCGTGCAGCAAATAGTATTTTAAAGCTTTACAAAATATTTGGCTTCATTTGACTGTTGCAACAATTTTCAGCTCGCCATTTGTCGTCACTTCGACTGAAGAGATAGATCGTTTCATCACTGGGGACCTTAACAGAAACGATTACTAACTTACTAACTTTCCTGACCGGCTGTTACCTTGGCGTGCGGCAGTTTCATTAAATTAAAGGCAGTACTGTCCCGTCCGCGGCTAGTAGTTTTTCGATATAAAGTTCGGTAGTAAACATTATGTAGTTCGGTAGTAAACATTATAATGCTCGAGTCCAATGTGTCGGGTGAAAACAACTTCCTCTTCACACACACGACGTGGATAGGCAATGATTTGCTCAAAATTCGCAAATGAACAGGGCTGAACTTATTTTAAAGATTGCATATTGGCCCGCCATTACTCTTGCCGCCATCTTAAAAACAAGATCTGCCAGACGTCTCGCCCGTTGTCTCCTTCCCGCCTTCCTTTGCGCGCACATTTTCATCAAAAGAGAGACGTCTGGGTACGTGGCAGGCGCCGTTCCGTAATGAATTATAAAACATATGTTTTTTTAGCTCTACCAGGAACAGCTGAATCGAGCAAACGAGATTTGACAGCTGAATCGAGCAAACGAGAGTTGACACCAAAGTCAAAGGAAGCCCCGCAACCTAGAAAGAAACAGATTAGTTTGCTGAAAACACCGTCGAAGGAAGAAGGTAAGATGTCTCTTCCAGCTTATTATAACTTAATAGTTTGACTTTCTCTTAGTGTTGTTATTCAAGCGCATCGAAAGGGAATTGTCTCCGTCTGTAATCCGCTAAAATTATAAAAATTTTGTTTTTTTAGCTCTACCAGGAACAGCTGAATCGAGCAAACGAGATTTGACAACAAAGTCAAAGGAAGCCCCGCAACCTAGAAAGAAGCACAGCAAATTGTTTGGTAATTTTCAAGTAACTTCTTTTTAATGCAGTATGAGTTATCATAATGTAAAAAGAATATTTTTTTTTCTCAACTTTTGCACATTAAATTGTGGAAAGCAACCTGTTGGTTATATTTTATTACCACTAGACTTCTCGTGTTTATAGTTTACTTCTCCTGAATTAAATATAAAAATCGCATGAGCTCCAAGCCTCTTGCTTCGTTTGTTTTACTTACACACAATGTAGTGATGTTTTTGGGTGTTTTTTTTAATAAGAATATTTTCTGCATAAACTGAGGTTGTGAACAGCAAATTTTGCATTCCCTGAAATTGGTTCTAAAGCCTGCGGCTGGATCCCAGCTTCTCTGTCAGGAGGTGTGCAGCATGTTAGAAAAGATGTGCGGCATGGAGGTCAATGTAAGAACTGTGACGTACCTACTGGAAAAAGCATTTATGGAGGCAGACCCTCCTGTAGAAAGAAAACGGATTAAATTAACGGATTGAATTAATCTGAGTGAGTTTTTAAAATTAATTGTTTCATACTCCCTTGCCTAGTGGTGATAACATTCCTCATTTTTTTTTAAAGAGATCACAATTGTCCTTTGCTTAACTTTTCCTTTCTTACCAGCAATACTGTTTGATATCAAAAAAGATTGTTTGGATAAAAAATTTTGCCTTAATTTAATGTAGATATGTATTTGACAATTTAATGGCCATTGACAAGGAAACAGATCAGTACCAAAACAGCAACTTACTACAAAAGAAAGCAGATTTGAAAAACTTTTTCACCACTGTTACAACCAAAGAGTCTCCAGTTTCTTTGTCACTTTCTCAGACTTGTCAACTGCATGAACAAATAAAGCTTTTTGATCAATTCAGAGGCATTGATCTTGGCAAAATCGATGCCAAGGAACGTTTTACTTTGCAAAAAAGTGGACTAAATGAGTACTTTGATACAGTGTGTGAGAAAGTTGTGAAGAAATGCCCATTGATTACAAGTATCACTAAAGCATTGGTGGAAGGAACCAACATACAGGACAACAGTGAGAGAAATGCCCTATTCAAGTTCAAGCAAGCTTTACCACTGTTAACTTTTATTACCCATTTCAGGTCGCAGAAATCATTGTCAGATTTTCCAAATTTATTTGGCCTGTTGTTAATAGCCAATGGTGGAGGGAAATCTATCTTAACACTTCTGTCTTCAATAGGATTATGCAAGAGCTATAAGTGGTAGTAAGTAACTACAGTCATATACATTTCAGTGATTCAAATGGTCAAAACCCTGATCAATACTTACATGCATAGTACACACATACAATTCTGAAGCTCATTTTAAAGGGCATTTCATTTACCAATGAAATTATACCAGCTTACAAGTTTAAAAAAAACTATGGGAGTTAGTTCATTACAGCATATAATGCCACTTTTACAAATACTGACCCACATTTCAATCTACATCTCAAAAGAGTCAACACTCTTTAATATTGTGTCTTTTTTTAGAGATGGTTTAGTTAAAAGTACGAGATTCCAGAATATGTCATATCTTTTTTTAACTATATAAAAAGACAGAAAAAACAGGACATGTGATTTGTGTTGCATTATTTCAAAAGGAGATGAATCTGCTTTTATTTGTTACTTAAAAATTCGTTTTTGGTCTTTTCTCAGTCGTAAGTGGATGGGTCGTCTATTTAAGACTTACACTGATGCCATATCAGTTGCTTTTCCTTCTAACACACCCCTGATAATAGGATATGACAATATCAACATCTACAAGGGTAAAGCCCGATTTTCTAGACTGAAGAGAAAAATTCTACCAGTGATGTGGAACCTTACCGTGCGTATGGCTCGGAAGCCCAATATTGATGGCATTGAACATCTTTGGGAAATTCCTGACACAGCTGCTTGTAAACCTCAGAAAGATATATTGGCCCTAACTGTTGAGGACATCTTTCTAGGTATCTAGTATTAGCAAATAATGTCTGGTTTTAACTTATTAACATTTCGAATCAATTTACTGCATATTTGGTAGTTATTATAACTGTAGGTAAAGTTGATGTCAAAATGAGTCATGCTTACAGTGAAACACATACTCTTAAATTACTATTTTTTCTTCTTCAGAAAAATTAAGGTTTGGGGTCTTCTATTTAATTCCTCAAAAACAGAGGGGGTAGAGCCAACTTTTTAAGCTTTCAATATAGCACAAAATAACCTGAGAACAGACTACCTGCAACTTCAATATCTTTGAATTATGGTTGTAGTCATTAATTATCACGTGACTTATCAAGGCTATTATTAGTGCAAAATGGGACCACTTTTCATTTCTTTCTGGAAGTTGCAGTTATTATTATAGTGATGAGACTAATAGGTATATCATTTCGGTGACCAGGCCTTTTAAGTTACCCTTTTAAAAAGGGGCGAAATTCAAAAACCATTTGATGGACAGATGTTTAGTTGTTCACCTAGGGACATTTTTGGTATTAACTTCTTTGATTGACTGCTTGAATAAACTGGTGCCATTTCTAATTTAAGTTTTTTCGTGCAAAATAGCCTTTGAAGGTCAGATGACCTAATTTGCATATTCTTTTACACAGAATTAATAACCAAGTGTCAGTTAAGTTATGGTTATTCTCTTGGCTAGTTCTTATAAGGTCATTGGCTTAGACCATTAGGGTCATGTACCCAAGCTTTTTATTCAAATCCCATTGATCCTTCCTAAATTGAGTGACCATTGAATAAAAACTTCCAGCTCTTGTAACAATGGCATGTTGCTGCCATGTCATCCTTGAAATTTATAATATAGATAGCTCTGTTTCATACCTTTCTGTACATCATCACATGATACTAATGATAATATTGGGTTATAATAATCATACTATAATTAGTGCTCTAATTCATATGATTTTGACAAGTTTTCACAATGATGATTCTTGATAGGAACCCATTACCCACAGGGATATTAAAAGTATGATCTCTAAATTCCGGAGAGTGATTTTTTAACAGGCAGTTCAACAGGTTGTTTATGCAGAATGCAGAAGGTTGAACTGCACAGGCTTTATATCACATGAGAGGTTCATATATTTTTAAATTTAATCTACTCTCAAACAGATTCTCATAAGGAGCTGTCCACTATCATTGAAAAAGCCAAACACAAGTGGCTGCTAAGGTTGCTTCATTATGGCCTTAACATTGGTATCACCTTTGACGATCTGAAAAGCAGAGATGAAAAATCAATCAATACCTTACTTGAGAACTTTTAGAAGCCTTCAAAACTTTCAAACAATGTTAATGTCCCAAAGCAGGAATATGACTACCCCCAAAATGCAGGGAAAAAAGCTGAGATAATGATTTTACCTTTGTCCATTGATGATGAAACCACTACAAGTGGAACTGCATCCATCTTACAAAATTATTCAAAAGAGTTTGGTCTTCAATGTGAACGTTCAAGTAATTACATTCCAAAGGATCACATGACAGGAAAGTTCAATCTTTCAGCAGCAAGGGAACGATTCCTTTTCTACCAAGGCTTAAAATATCACTATGAAGAAATGAAAGTTTTCAGGAAGACCCTTGAAGACAACGATAAGCATATCACAGATGAACAAGGGGAAGATTCGTCAGATAGTGTTCATGACTCTGATTCAGAAGTAGAAGTTACTGAAGGGAATTGTAAACAATTAAATTTTAAAGAATTCTGTGCAAAAGTTGAACAAACAATGAAAAATGCAATGGCAAAACTTAAAAGTTGTACCAGTGGAAAGAATTTGCAGCAAAGTGACATGATATTGCGGCAGCGCCAAAGTGAATGGTTGTTGTTAGAGGACCAGTTTAAACGCACATGTCTACACCTGGCAGTTGAAGAAAATGATCTCCAACTAGCAGAGAGCCTTTTAGTTTCTGGTGCAGAAATTAACAAACCAGAGGGATGTGGTGTAACACCAGTTATGATCGCAGTCATCAAAGAGCAGTTTCAAATGGTACAGTTGCTATTGAAATACAATGCTAAAACACATGGTACATTTACAGGTCTAATTCCACCGCCATCAGACCCGTTGAATCGATTGATAACCCTGCCATTAAAGCAGCAATTTCGCAACACATAAACGAAGAAGTGAATGAGGCGGCGGCTGTTTTTGCAGAATATCTTGATGGAAAAGGGGAAGTGGAACTTAGCAAGACTGGTGTGGCACCAGAAAATAGACCCCAAAGTGAAAAAAGTGACGAGGTTGATTAGTGTAAGAAAGAAAGTGATCACTTTTGATGACCAAAACGCCTGTAGTAATGTGCGATCTGTCAGGAATAGAGCACCTGATGAATTTTCAACTTTCATGGAAAAGCCAGGTGATTTTCACACGGAGGGCTACTTAGCTCAATGTTGTGGTAAAATGCTTGGCCCTGGTGGATTCTATTATGTGATGAGACAGTTGCTAGGTAGACATCAGGTAACATCAAAAAGTTTCCAAAAAATAATTAAAGAAGGAAATTTGGAACGCAACATTGATGCATTGAAAGATTTTACATGGGGTATGGCCATTGCTGTGGTAAAAGAATTTGAAACATCTGTCTATTTTCCAAGCAAAGATCGGCTGCACCATGGTGAGGGTGACACAGATCTATTATGCAGAAGGTTCCAAGGATGGCGCGACGAGAGCTCCAGCAGGGATGCAGTTTTTTCATACCACAAACAAAATCTATTAGATCATCTATTCCTTTTAGACTTTTTCCACACTAGTGTTAGGTGTGGTAATGGAAAAGCCCTGGAAGCTTGTTACTTTCTTTTGGCTCCGATTTTTTTTTCAATGAACAAGAAGAACTACAAAGATGAAGCATTTGTGCACATTGTGAACATTATGTGTACATGGCCCCTTGCATTGATGGAAACCCTACGGAGAAACAGAACAATTTCATTGTCAGGTCGTCCAGGCCATGATTTGGCAGATGACGAATTCATAGAGGAGAGACTGGTAAGAAGAACAAAGATGTATGCAAAAAAACAAGCAACAGTCCAGGGATTAGAGAGAATAAGTCTTATTCTTGACTTCTGTGCAGAGCTTGAGGCAGCTTTCAAAGCTGCCTATGATGTGAGATCGCCCAAAAAAAACATGTACCAGATTCAACAAGTGAGCATGTTAAAGTTGCCTGGTTTGCTGTACAAGAACAGTGGTTTTGTGATAAAGGGAGAGTGGAAGTTCCCACCTACCCAAGTAACAAGAAGGAGTTGCCATCAGTGAAACAGAAGTTACGCAAGGACTGCCAGAATGCACAGTTGCGGGGAGAAGAGCTGTTCAAAAAACATTTTAAGGAGATGAAATGCAGACTTTTCCCTACTACAGCCTTACACTTTGTAACTGATAATTGAAGTTTCCCTCACATGAACTACATGTATTCCTAGGTTAAAACAAGAACGCTCTAAGTAGCGTTGAGTCTCGCTTGTTTGTAGATAAGATAAGAAGTGAGGAGGCGAATAGAGCGCGTGCGTTCGTCACTCGGGGGGGCATATATACGGTGTTGTGGGCAAAACAGTATTATATTTAGCCGTGAAGGTCTTGTTTAGGGTTGCATGTGAAAAAATATAAAAATACGTGTATTGTCTGAGTTTTCAGTAACATAGTCTCTCAGGGGTCAAAAAAGCTTGGGCTACGCACGGATCGATCTCTTGTAGGGGTTTAATTCAAAATCTCCGACGAGCATCCCCTTGCCTTTCGTATGCAGAGTCGTCCTCCCCAGGGGTTCGTCATAATTCCTCAGAGTCACCGACAGCAAGTGAAAAAGTTGAATTATGATTTCAATCTACTGCACAGGGTCCAGAGGAGTTGCGTGTGAATAAACAAATTAATTATTTAAAGTCTCACCTCGAAAAATGTTTATACCTGTCGCTTAGCATGATTAATTAGCCCAATGGGATCTTTATGAATCTACTGTAAAGGATTTCTTTGCTTTTTACCTGATCCAGATCGACTTTGTTGTTCGCCATTTTGAAAATCAATAACCGCAAGCTATATTCTCGTTGGTGCACACTACAGCTGGTCGTCCGAAGGGTGACGGAAGACCGTCGCCCGAAGGACGACCGAAGCGCGAAGTGGCGAGTAAAAAAAAAGGATAAGGGAGGATACTTGTACCACGTGACTTAGTTCGTTGTGAACCGCATCTCTCGGTGACGGAAGTGAATGAGACCGGAAACGCAAAAGCAACAGACCGCTGCTAATTCGGGAATCAAAACATCAACTGCGGAGGGAGTTTTAAAGATCTTAGAGATCTATGCGAGGGCAACAGAGTTTTAAGTGAAGTGAAGATCTTTCAAGACTGAACATTTGTTGCGTACATGCCAACAGTCTTCGATCTCTTTAAGCAGGTTTCGCTTGTGTAAAGGCTTCCCACTACCCAGTCGCAAGACGAACAGCCAAAGACGCAAGAGGTAACATTGTTGGAACCACCGAAGAATGGCTCAGTCGTGATGATATTACAGGTGCCTTGTACCTCCGCTCCTCTCAGTATTACGTTTTATTGCAACAGTACGCACGACTTGTAAATCACTACCCGTAATAATTTAAGATTTTCCAAACAAAACTAATGAGTTGGGCTTAACGTGATACAGCATTGCACAAAAACATTACATTCATGGACTAAAGAAAATCGCTTAGTTATTCAGATCCAGAAGATACTTTGGAAAAATTGGAACCCTTATTCAGCCGTAATAAAAAGCTTCACCATCATGCTTCAAAATAGTCTGCTACACAGTCGTTTTTAATGTCGTCACGCAACGCTTTTCCCCGCTAATAGCCACAGTAAATCGATATGTGTGTCATGATCTCTCAGTGTGAAACATGCGGGTAAAATAACATTTACTCAGTGAAAATGTAGAACCTTCCAGAGCATAATCTACCCAGCAGACGAAAAAAACTTTATTGGAACGAGCAGCATTTTGGCATGAGGTAAAAGTCGTGTAGGGTTACCATCTCCTTTTATTGCTCTGATCTTGACCACTTTTACCTTACTACCCCGGGTGGCCCCCCCCGCCCCGGGCTTATACGTCATTTCTGTCATCATCTGTTGCGATGGACAGCAAACGGAAGTGCTGTCTCGAAGCCGTAAATTTCGGTCGCCGAAAATGAATTTGAATTCTTTTTTATGCCGTTTTCCTACAGTATTTCGCAAATACATAAGAATTCTAGATCAGGTTAGTCAAATCAGGCAATTTCATTGAATTTCATTTTAGTTTCAAAGATTCGAAAATCGGCCCAAGATTTGTTTCCTCGACATTTATCATCGCCTGTACAATAATATTAATGATGTACGAAATATCACGTTGTTCGTTACAATTAAGTATCCAGCATCATGAAACAAAGGAAAAGAATCAGGCTGTTGAAAACGATAGGTAAATTAACGACGATTTGCTTGTTGTTTTTAACCTCATCATCGAAGTTCTGCTCATGAACATTCTTCCTTGTTTCAACATCTGATGTATTCACTTCTTTCAAAGTTATCAACGCTTTCAAACGACAGAATTCGTGGAACGAACAATTCCGAAAACGGTCGACATCTTTTAGAGTGGGTCTACCACGAATGGTGTGTGGATTTGTAAGCGACATCACCGTATAATCCATTAAACTTTCGAACTTTTTCGTCTCAAAACATAACATTCGGACAATTGCGCGTTGTTTTTCGAAGCGTTCACTGAGATTGAGAGCATCGTGTCGATTTTCATCCCCAGATTCTGCGCTACCATGACCCGGAACACGTGTTTACAAAACCATTCTTTCTGTCACGTTTAGCTGTATTTACTTTTTCGCACGTGAAGGTCATAGAGGTCAGAACCAAATTACCATAACTAATCAGAGAAAGCACGTGTTTACAGTTTTACTTTTTGTTATGTCTGTTTTGCACTTTCGATTTTATCGACTTACTATGTCATATAAGCATGAAACGTAACCTGTTTTAACGAAAAAGATAAAGTCTGATTTCTTACATGGAAGAAAAGCACTTAAATGTGATAAACATTGCGTGTTATTCCAGTCATCTCCCAAAATAAACCACATGCTCATCACGAGACTCATTTCCATACAATGAAAGTCGTCACGATTCTTATCCCAAGTTTCCACGGTCTTCGCTAGGAACGCGGGACCTACAAACTAGGTCCCACCGAAAAAAAAACCGAACTGCATTTTAAGATTCTCGCTTTGCTAAAGCAAGCGAGACTAACAATGCTAAAGGCATAGAGTATAGAAAGTGAGAGAAAATACTCAGGCATGTTGGTTATTATACTTAACAGACAAAGCTTAGTGGACCAATTACGTCCGCCATACATTAAGTGATACAGGTCAAAATTATAATTATTCAGGTAGAAATATTTTAACCTAGGTTGATTCTTTGTCTCATAGCCTTACACTGTAATTTGAATTTTATTTTGGCCTGTAACTGATGACAAATTAGCCTTAAACTCTAGCTGTGACCATTTAATTCCAGACAATAACCAATTGGAGGTGTTGGGGTGTCAATGGTCAACAGTAATTTAAGGATCAGCAGTTGAGACAGTAATGCAGGCACCAACCTGCAAGCCTTACAAGGAATGGTACATTAACTTCGTCTGTCCACTAACATACTGTAAGTACTGGCTTCCAAGTTTCAGCTGCAAGTAGGAACAATTGTTCACTCCATGTGCAGGTGGCACCTCTCTTAGTATGTCCTTTGTTACAGCGTGTCGCAAGAAAAGGTCACATGCATTAACAGTACACTTGAAAGCTGCAAAAATTGAAGAGTGTTCACCTCTATTTTCTCTAATTTTCTTATTCATTTTTCCAGATGCAACTTGAGCCAGGTACTTAATAGTGATGGGCCTTTCCACAACCTGAAGAAACTCAATTATTCTGGTGATTTTTGGTGTGTAGTCGTTAGTAAGAGGTGTATTTGCCACAGAATCTTTGCAAATATCACAATCATCACATAGAGCCAAACCAGCTTCTTCTGGGTTGAAATATGTTATTAATTTTTTCCGTCTACATTCCTTAGACATCATAAAATCTAAGACCCTTTGAAACCGTAAAAGAGAGGAAGGTTGCCTTTGTGAATCAAAATTGTGCTGATCAAAAATGTTTCTTACGTGGAAAACTCTGTGTCCAAATGAAAAATACAAATAGCATTTGGCAGGAAGTCCATCACGGCCAGCACGACCCCAGGCCTGGAAAAGGTCCTCCATGCATGAAGGGAGGGAGTGAAACATTAGCACTCTCACATTCGGTTTGTTTATACCCATGCCAAAAGCAGTGGTACAACATAGTATCTTAATCTCTCCTTTGGTCCATTTTTTCTGAAGGCTCCCTTTTAAAGCCTTACTAAGCTCCGCATGATATGGCTGGCTTGAAATCCCCTTGCTTTCAATCGCATTCCCTCTTTGTAGAACAATAGATGAGGGCATTTTCGGTGGAAGAGATCACCTGAATGATATTCTTTTCAGTGTCTTTCCGTTTCTCTTCCACCTCATAGGAAAGATTAGGCCTATTGAAGCTACCCTGGATAATATTTAAATTTTGTAATCTAATTTTTTTGTTTGATGTCAGCAATAGCATCTTGCGTTGCTGTTGCAGACAATAAGATAGTGGGTGCTTTTGGTACAAGAATCTTACTCATTTCTGCAACAGCTAAATAGTCAGGCCTGAAACCATTGCCCCACTGGCTGATGCAATGTGCCTCATCATAAATCAGATAAGAAATCAAATCTTTTTCACCCATTGTCTTCACAATTTCTTTAAACACAACATCCCGATTCAGTGTTTCAGGGGTGGTGTAAATAAGTTTTAACTCTGGATACCCAGACCGCAGTTTGTAAAGAATTTGCTGCCTTCGTGTACTGTCCGTCTCTCCTGTAATGGATACAGCTTCAACTCCCCTAGACCTTAGGTCAGTTATTTGATCATTAATTAGTGCAATTAATGGGGATACAACAACGGCTGGTTTGTGGTTACAGACTGCTGGCAACTGAAACACAAGTGACTTGCCTCCACCTGTGGGCATAATCACCACTGTATCATTTCCATGTAAAATAGAATCAATGGCTTTCTGTTGAAGTGGCTTAAGACTTGAATAACTCCACACAGTTTTCAGTGTATCAAGCAGGTCAATTGAACTTGTCACAGTTCCAGAAGGAAGGATTGGGATAGAGATACGAGCCAGTGGAGTGGTGCATGTTGAAACATTTGACACATTTTCTCTTTCATGTATATCAGTTACAAATGTAGAAAAGTTTTCATCAACATTACTTGCCCTGACTAAACTAATACATTCCAACTCTGGTTCCATCTGGTCATTGACATTGCTGTACCAGGTCTTAAACTTCAGGCATTGCCTGGGCCCTTTTACAAAGATGAATTCATGCTTGCCTTGAAATGGACACAATTTCCCAGAGACAAGAAGAAAACATGTAAACTTGAGAGCAACATTTCTCTCTGAAATGGCTTTTACACAGTAGCATCCTAGAGAGCAAGACACCTCAAACACCTCCCCTTCAACCTATCAAACAAAATAGTAAATAATGTATTGTATGAGAATCTTTTGTCAAAACTTCCCATCAGGTATATTAAATCCCTGGAAATCTTTTCTTCAAAAAAACTTCAATTGAAAGCTTAAGATTGTAATGTTCTTGTTGTGATGGTTTCAGGAAATTTCAATACCCACCCTAAGGACAGTATAAAAATAGACTGGAAATACCAGGGTAGAGGTTGAACAAAAAAGAATGTGAAACTGTGGACTGATATTTAACAAGTCCTGTGCTACATGTTCAACATAAAATAATATTGCCGTGGTGGGGGGTCTTTGGGCTGCCGATTGCGGGAATTATAGATAACAACTGCACTTTTTGAAGGCTTGAGAGTAAAGAAACTACTAACCCACAGAATCGGATAGAGATATATAGAGTACGCCTTTTGAAACAAGAAACGATTGATCTTTAACCAGGATATTTCCTCAACACACCCCAATATTTATTATTAGTAAAATCCAACTAGTGGTCTATTATCGATGCTGCATTCTCATTGGTTGAGCTACTACTAGGCTATATGTTAAAGCCCACTAGTGGCGTAAAGCGCGGGCTTTTTGGCGGCAAAAAAGGATGAAAGTCTAGTTTTAACTAGCTAAATTTTCTTTAATTCTCAATATTTTTTACCAACTAGTTGGATTTTACTAAAACAATTATTTTATTATAACCTTTTACTCCCTCTCAAAGCAAGATACATACCAATTTGGAGGCGTTGGCAAAAATCTTTTCAAGCAAGAGCTGGCCTAACTTGATCTTCTTCAATTCCTCTATAGTTTTTATGTCAGTAGTTGAAGATCTTGACATTTCAGGTGCTGCTAGACATTCCTAAACCACCCAGAACAGTGGGGGCATGGGTACTCAAGAATGGTTTCTTTTGGTCCTGAAGTTACATGCATTCAAATGAACATGAATTAAAACAATGCCATTTTTATTTTTGACTTAAAAGCAAACCTGACATCAAGCGTGACACATTACCTAGAGATAGTTCCATAGCGGTCCGGGAAACAAGTGGAACAAAGTGATTTGGGCTAAAGTTGCTGGTCACTGTATTCCCCATCTTGCTCCACAAGAAGTGAAGAGGACTCAATGAATTAGACATTTCACGTGGCTGTATGAAATAAGTTAATGTTTTTTTAAGGGTGGAAGGCACTTTATCAGGAAATACACTTTGTATGGGTCTTTTAGCAACTGAAGTTATTCCATGCCATTGCCACAGACAAGCCCAAGAATTTTCTTTGCACATGTTTAAAACTTCTGCCTCAAAGATTTCTTTTATCTGACAAGGGTCTTCGATTTTTTCTGTAGATAACAAATGCAAATAAACTTTACAGAAGTGAATGTATTTAACAAATTATTTTTAAGATGTGAAATTGCTAGGTGGATTCAACACAATACTTTTGTGGTAAACGTAACATATGTTTATCAACCTAGGTCCAGAAAAAATAAAATAACCATTTAATTTAGGATTAATTTTTTGACGTGAAAATAATTTTGAGCTGTGATTGTAAATATAAAGTGTAAACAGCAAGTTAAACCTGTAATTCAAGCTTAAAAATATCTTTTTACCCGCGCTGTTTGTCAATTGACTTTGCATTCTAATCATAATTATTAATTATAAGAGTAAGGAGAAGAAGGGAAATGAAAATTCACTTCGACACAATACAATTATTTTTTTCACCTGGTATTAAAATTTAACTGCAGCAAAGAGATCATGACTAGAAAGGCATTAAATCTGTCCACAAGTGTTTTACTTAGCAATGTAGATTCTTACAGTACATTCATATCATAATCTACATAGGGCGAAAGTAATTTTCTTACAGTGCGAAATAAATATCGGATTCTAACCTGGAACAGCTTTGCCATTCAAAATCGCCATCTCTGCTTCCATCCTACTTATTACTTCGCTATCAGCTAAGTAATAAAAGCTATATTTTGCAAGCTCAACAATTGTTCTGACCTGCAGTTCTAGGTGATATTGTTCTGTTCCAAATAACAGCAACGAAGCGGCTCTGAAGCAACAGTTACCATCTCCAACAGTTTTAACAGCAACAAAACTCCGATACATGTTCAGTTGGAATAAGGTTACACGAGGAGAAATCAATCGTCAAAGGACCTCAAAGGACTATACGTGATATGCTGTTGGCTTTTCAAAGTCGGCAAAATTCGATATACTATGTCGCAAGCATCGACAAGGGTTTTAAAACCATAACTACCTGCTGTTTGCAGCATCTTAAACAGCTCAACAAAGTCCGCCATTTTGAAGAAATTAACGCACGCATGCGCATTCTGTTTTTGTCTAGGCGTTCCCCGCCCGTTCGTCTCGGATACGTCACTGAAACGAATTGACCGAGAGGCACTGGGAAAACGTCGTACAGGGACTAGGCAAGAACACGACTACAACGTGAGACTTTCGAGTTACGCGTTAGGCTTCACTGACCATTTTCATATCAGTCATACTTTAAGTAACAGAACCATTGGAATGACATCCTTTTCTATTGGTACCAATCCTACCATTGCTACCAATGGACCATCGGTTTGACGAATCGTATCTGTTTGTGTATATATAGCGCGTTTTTACTTGGTGTAAAGCGAACTTGTTTTGCATAGATGGCTTATAGAACGAAGAATACACATGGCATGCTTGTATTTCGACCTCGCTATATTATAACTGTTGGCAATTACTATTAGCGCTAGTTCGCCCTCGATATGTAACTATTAGCGCGTTTCTACTTTATGTGAGAGTGAAATTGTTTGCATGCGTGGTTGGCTTATAGAACGAGGAATATTCATAACAACTATTAGCGCGTTTCAACTTGGAGTAAAAGCGAAGTTGTTTTGTATAGATGGCTGATAGAACGAAGAATTCTCATGACGTGTTTGTATTTCGACCTGTTTTTGTTCACCAATAGAACCATTTGGAATGATGTCCTTTTCTATTGGTACCAATCATACCATTGGTACCAATGGACCATCGGTTTGACGAATCGTATCTGTTTGTGTATATTGGACACGTGTGAAAAGTTTGTAATTTTATCATAACATATTGAAAAAGTTATTTCTTTAACACTTGTAGGATGTTTTTACTATCTTACTCTTTTATTACGTTTATTCACATTCATTTGTAAATAGTTTCTCAAAAAGTCCCTTGAGGATGTTACTATATAAAGTTTTATCATTATTATTATAACTCCAGATACGTTTCAAGAGAAAATTCCTCGACGTCTTTGATCTTGAACTTGAATTTTTCAATTAACTTTTTCGGCATTTTCCTCATAGGCAATGGAATTTGAAGAGGTGCGAGAAGTTCAGGTTGAACTCCGAGGGGGACTACTGATCGTAAAATGGACTTCAAGGTGTCTAGGAAACTCCGCACTTTGTTATTTTCCATAGTGTCAGATTTCAACAGATCGATTATCGCGTCCATATGGGCTTGAATTATAAGACGCTTCTTACCAAATCTTTTCTTTAAAAATTCCACGACCAACGAATAGTAATCTTTAGTTAACGTAAATCCTTGTATTGATTTGGTAGCTGGACGCAAAAGAAATGATTTTGATTACGCGAGCTCCGTAAATTTCGGTAGGGGAATTTTTGGTAACTTTATATTTGCAGAATTTGTTTCGAATCCTGAAGCGCCGTCATGAAGAGATTCGGGACCTTACGATCCGACAACGGCGACGGCGACGGCAACGTGAGAAGTCTGGGTCGAGCGGGGCCACGTCGTGTTGGCGTTCCCGCCAAAATTGAGATTACGAATTTTACGAGCGAGAACGTTGACGACGGTCATTGATGTTTATCGTGTTTAAGTCAACGAAAGTTTTTTAGAAAGCCATGCCAAAGTTCCGTGACACTATTCTCCTCGCTCATGCTTCCCGTTTGGTTAACGCTGAAGAATTCGTGCTACTCTACGATTTACACAAGCCTAAAAATCCGGATTTACCGTACACTAACTACGAGTGCTTCGATCTCGACAAGATGACCGATGATGAATGTAAAACTGAGTTTAGATTTTACAAGAATGACATTTACAACTTGGCAGAGGTGTTTACTTTACCGGATCGGATCGTTTGCTACAATGGTGTAAATGTCGACATGGTTGAGGCATTGTGCATTTTTCTTAAAAGATTTGCCTATCCCTGTAGATACGTAGACATGATACCCAGATTTGGAAGGCCAGAACCACAATTGTGTATGATCTCAAATGCTGTTATGAACAAGATGTATCAAACATGGAACCGCCTTCTCACTGATTTGAACCAGGATTGGTTAAGACCCGATCATTTAGAGGAGTTTGCCGTTGCAGTTCACAACAGGGGAGCTGCTCTTGACAACTGTTGGGGGTTTGTTGACGGTACTGTGAGGCCCATATGCCGACCAGGACAAAACCAAAAGTGCTTATACAATGGTCACAAAAAAGTCCATGCTATAAAGTTTCAATCTATCACAGCACCCAGTGGCCTTGTTGCAAACCTGTTTGGGCCTGTCGAGGGAAAGAGACATGACAGTGGGATGTTAGCTAGATCTGGAGTGTTAAACCAATTGCAACGATTTTCAGTGGACACAAATGGGAACCCCCTATGTATTTATGGAGATCCGGCATATCCTCTTCGACTACATCTGCAAGGACCTTTTCGAGGAGCTGGACTAACTCCCATACAGTCTGCATGGAATGAATCTATGAGTGAAGTCAGAGTTTCTGTTGAATGGATTTTTGGTGATATAATAAATTATTTTAAATTTCTGGACTTCAAAAAAAACTTGAAAATAAGTTTAAGTGCTGTTGGCAAAATGTATGTGACATGTGCCCTTCTTCACAATGCTCGTGTTTGTTGTTACGGATCCACCACATCAGACTACTTTGATGTTTCTCCCCCAGAAATTGGGGATTATTTTCACTAAGTCTGCCAAACAGGTTTTACAAAAGTTACATAACACTTTTCCTTTCGAAAATTGAACTGCTTTTTAATAAAAAAAAATTATACAATCGAGAAAGGCTAACATATTGGAATTAAAGTGAAATAAATGCCACCAAAACAGACTATTAAATGAGAACAAATAATGGTGAGCATGTTTACAGAGAGTAATGCAATTCTATAGTTGGATAAGCCCTATTGCCTTGATAAAGGCTCAGCCCCAGTTTTGATACTGGCATAACATCAATTCGGCGACTTTCAAAGGTTGGCAAAATTAAGCAACATTTCCTTTACAACTATATATGTAAACAAGTAATTATTATTATAAATCTTTAATTTTTAACTTCCTTGAAAATGTTCAAGTTAATAAAAATGTGAACTCTTTGTGCATTTAAATGACCTCTTGCAGAGATTGACCAGCATCACTTCCCAGCAAACTTTTTCATTAGTTCCATAAGTGCAAGGGTTTGTTGTTGGTGCTGTTGCATCATGTTTGCATTCATTTGCATAAACTGCTGCATTTGCTGCTGCTGAAGCTGCTGAATATCTCTAGTTTGCTTGTTCATCATATCAAACTGCTGTTGTCTTCCTTCCTGCTCCTTTGCTTGCAGTGCTAACTCTTGCCTTTTTATCTCCAATTCATCACGTTTTAAAGTAGCTTCTACTTCTGCCCTATCCTTCAGGTAAGCCAGAGTGCTTGCACCACTAGCTCTACCCTTTTTCGGTCTTGCTCCTTGCTGTTCATCGGCATTCCTTTTGGCGCTATCTTTAAAAGTTTCCAATGATCTCTTCCGCATTTCCTCCGCTTTCTTTGCTTCTTCTTCCTGCTTTTGTTTTGTTTGATCTGTGATTTTGTCAGACTCATCAAAGAGTTCAATGGTTTCATCTAACAGTTGATCTAGTTCCTTGTCCTCTTCAGGGGCAGTACCTGAGGCTCTGTCTTCTTCCCTGACTTTCTTCCTTCTTCTCTTTTCCATTGTTGAATAGTGGTCACGAACAGACCGTTGAGTAACACGGAATTGGGGATAAGGAGTAGCATTTAAGGATACTGCCAGCTTTTCCCAATCATCTCCTCTCTCACTAGTTCCTTTCTTGTGCAGCCATGGCTGCAAAAGCATCAATTCCCTCAACATAAGCAATTCGTGTTCTTCAGTCCATTTCATTGATTGACTGAAAGTGCAGTGCAACAAAAATTACTTCATGAGGAAGAACTATCAGTATATCAGCAAAATTTGCTAACAATAAAATTATCATTGTACCTGAGATTTACTAGCACTTGGTCCTAATCATGATCAAAATTTTTAAAACAAATAACATAGCTTTCTTTGGGTGGTATTAACTAGATCATCATAATATTAGACAACATCTTTGTTTTCTTTAGTCCTCCAATAAATTAGCTGAATTTGTTGACAGATAAAGAAATGATCATGAGAATACATGAGGGTTATCCTTTGCCTTCCGAATGAGGGAAACATATACAATTAAGGTTGGAAGGACGCTTTCAAATGAAAACAGTCATGAATTACTAAAAAATGTGTAGCATTTGGAGCAAAATATTGGGCAATCAATAAAGTTTGGATTTTGGAAAATAATTCTTATTCAATTAGGAAACAGTGGAAATTATGTGAACGTCTCTGTTTTGTATTTGTTTTTGATTCAGTTATAAATATAGCAATAATATTTGCGGTAGTCGGAATTCGTCGATATAACTGTTCAACCCAGCCAGTGAGTTCCTTGTAAAATAAGGTTAATCTACGATTATAAATGAAAATTAGCTCAATGAAAGTATTTATACACTTTGCATCGGTCGAATCTAGTACCGCTGCCGACAAAATCTCTCTACTATTTCCTAGTAAACCAAAAATAAAATTAAGCTTCATTGTTCTCTTTTTTTGATCGAGAAAAAAGTTGGAAAGTAAGTGATAAGAAAGCTCAGTGATAGCGAGTGAAGTACAATCACAAACAAATACAAAGCAAAATAAGTCAAATCTCTCTCCATTCAGTTTGTGGTCGTATACTAAAGACTCCACGCTCTGTTCGCTTTGGACATTTCATACAAACTAGTATTCTTTAAATTTAGTCGCAAAGTCTCGTTTTTACCTTGATTCCTTTGCCATAGTTGGGTTTTAATTTCCACGTTTTCGCACAACGTCAAACAAGGCTTCTAGACGTCCGCGCGTGAAGGGACACCGCCGTCTCAGAAATCTACTCATGCGCAGTACGTAACCGGAAGTAAAAAAGTCCCACGTCGCCGTCGCCGTTGTCGGATCGTAAGGTCCCTATTGTTTCCAATCGGTGATCTCTTGTTGTTGACAACACGCCCTACATCTGCCTTGCACGTCGATTATGTGGCATGTGATAAAATATGGACTGGACTGGATTGGTAAAACATGGACTCGATTGATAAAACATTGATTAATAAAACATGGATTGATAAAACATGGATTAATAGAGCATGCAGTGATCAAACATGGATTAAAAAGACGCTTTTATGGGAGTGTACGCTTCGGCGTCGTGGTTGTGGATTAATTGAGAATGCGGAGGAATAGTAGGAAATGATACTTTTCCGGTTACCCTTCCATAAAAATACCCTTACTTTTCTCATATTGTGTAACAGACTGCCAGGTGCATGACCGTGGCTGTAAATTGCGCACGACGAAATCTCACTTCCACTTCCTGTATTTCCTCTTCAACAACAATTTGTTGACTGCAAAAGTATTTTACAGAAAACATTGAAGCAATTTGGACTAGTAGCTTCAAAATACGAGGTAAAATCCAGATAAAAATTTTCAGAATTTTCATTGCGTCTCACTTCGCAAACGAGTTTGTTTCTGTCCTGTTATGTCGCGCGATATGTTTCTCCAAAGTGAGTTTCAGTTTGGCTTTTTACCGTCGAAACCTTGTCTTTTTCGCCTGAATTCGTTTTACACTGGGAAAAACCCAAATTTATTAGTTTAATTCCCCGCCAATATATCAAAGTTTCGTAATCCTCTTCACTTATGTACTCTTTAATATGGTCTTTTGACGACTTAAGCTCTGATCTTCATCAAGGCTTTCTAAATTCGACGCCCAGAGTTCTAGCGACTCCCTCTTGTTGCATTGAATTACTTCATCGATTTCCTTAATTGCTTGAGTCACTCTGCGCTTTACCGATGTTCTTTTCTTCTTTACCTTCTCCAATAATAGAAATGTTTCAACCGTTTCTGTTTCTCCACCGTCCGACATTATTTACCGTTATTCACACCATCCGACATTATTATATTAACTTTCCTGTAAAAGGGCTCGAAGGACCATGTTCGTACTTTGACAATTGAGGACTGAATGATATATTTAAATGTTCTTAACACCTTACGTTCTTATATAAGTTACGTAAACTGAATATATTACATTTCATGAATATTTCAGAACACTTGCTATACAGTTTATAAAGGGCCGCTAACCAAGAATAGTCTGAGGGCTTCTCTTGTCGCCCGCAAAGAGGTATCCAGCAGAAAATTGATGAAGGGAGATTGTTCCACTGTGTTATTATTCTTTAAAAAGAAAAAGAGTTCCCCGGATCTGGTGGAATTTGTATAGGGATAAAAACATTATGGGCGGGTGTGTCTCGTTATCTATTTCCCGGCCGGGATGAAGCGGATTCGTTTAATCTTAGAGGTGGAACCATTAGGGCCATTTATACGAGGGAAAATAAGAAGCATCCGCCTTACATAAGACGCGTCCTCATCGTCCTCAATAAGACGCGAACTTCACCGTATAAACCGCACATTCAATTTCGTCTGAAATAAGACGCGACTTAGCTAAGAGCGTCTTATCTAAGAACGGGTGTTAAGGGCTATCCTTAGATAAGACGCGTCTTATCTCATTTCAGACAAAATGAGCCGTTTAAACGGTATAGTTCGCGTCTTATTTTGGGCGCGTCTTATTTTTCCTCGTATAAATGGCCCTAAACGTAAAGTTGTTACCTTTTTCTTGAACGAAGAGTATTTCAAATCCTTCCTTCTTCTCGAGCAGCCGGTCCGAGTGGAATGTTAATACAACGTAGTTTCCTGATACAAACAGGTCTCTTACACTGTGCTGGTCACCGCAGTATCGAGCTTCTTTGATACCATTCGTTATTTTCAAATAATCGATCCTACAAGAAAATCTCTTTCAATACAAGTTGATGTACAATAACAAATATACCCCCACACATTCTCCTAGCTAGATGCCAAAACAACGGTTTATCAGACCAATTCTCGTAATTGTTAAAATATCCACCAATCAGGGATCAAGGGTCAGTAGCTGACCTAATCGTAAAGATGAAAGTGACAATCGGTACGACTGAATTATTTTACAAAAACCTATTTGATAACATTTTTCTATGCTTTTAAGTTTTTGACCATCAACCTCAAAATGAAACTTCAGATAAGAAAAGCTAAACGTATTTACTCCTACCTGCATTCTGAATCTGACGCCAGGTCAAAACTTTGAAACTTGAGTCTCATCTCCTTGCCATCTGGAATCGAAAGATTGTAGATGCAGTTCATGTTGCCAGCATAGAAGCCGTCTGCGTATGTAGGACTTTTCAGGGTATTGTTCATTACTGACCCACATGAAACTGAAAAGTAAGCGATGCATTTCAAGACCCTGTCGTTTCTTAACTAGATTCTAGATACACGTATATACACAACAACCAGCCCAACTCACACAGGAAATCGACACTCATGCAAACCCCCTGCTTGGAATGATCAAAGTTTATTTCTATATTGTAGTGAATTTCCCTTCAAAGCCAAAAAAGTATGTATAAAGTTTGGTTTGCCTGTGCTCCAACGTACGGCGAAATTCAAACCCCTCCTACTATACAAGAGGGTCGGCTGAACGTCCCTTAGGCTTAAACCGTGCTATTAAAGTTCGTTAAGAAGAATAAAGCTTGAATATTTATCGACTAGCTATAGACAGATGGAGATAGATGGATACTTTATCGGCATAGTCATCGCAGCCAGAGGTTAAATTACGTATAAAGATATAAAATATAAAAACTACTAAATCATAGAAAACGCATAGATTAAAATCGATTTTAGAGAAGTTATAACTCTAAAGAATACATATGCATAAACTACGAACAAAGTCTTATTTAGAAAAGCTGATGGCTATTCTAATGAGTTTACCCGGAGACATTGGGAATTAATAAGATAATTCCTGGCATGCCTGAGGATGTGACTATGCGAGACGTGTATGCGAGTCGAGTATGCAGTAAGTGACCAAGACGGTGATCCAAAAGGGACTGACACAGGCGCTGATGATGAACCACTAGTGATAATTCTAGGGCTAACGAAGCTAGAGCGTTGTCGTAGGACAATGCTAGGTGGGGCATATGATGGAGAGGGCCAAATCGTCGATTAGGTACTGAGGTAACGAAGCGTGAAACACAGGAATCGCGTAATTGCAAACAGACCTTATACAGCTTGTGTAAAACCTAAGCAGTTCGGCCTTCTCGACATAATGGCGCTTTTATAAAGAAAATAAAGGCGTTTAGAATGATGCTTTCTTTACCATCTCACCGATCAGACACGTGCATATTCCAAGAAAGGTTGCTGGTACATGTTTGAGTCCGTTACTGATTGCCTCAAATTCATCATCTAATTTTGCATAACCATCTAGAGTTGACCAAATTTGGAAGGCGTTTGCGAATATCCAGTAAAATGACATCAATTATTCGGGTAATCGCTAAAAAAATGACGGAAACCGAGAAGCCTTAATCGAGAACGTCCAGCTGCGTTAGCTCAGCTGTTTGCGTCCAGCTGGGAAAGAATATCCCTGCTAGACCTAACATCTTTTGTACCCCAAATTTACAAAAGAGCAGAAAAATTATAATGAACTCAAGACACCAGAAGAAGTAAGCACGTTTTAAACTAAGAGTTACTTTAAGTGAATAATAAATACGCTAGACACACCCTCCGCTATCTGCATAATTCAGCAGATCATGCTAAGCCTCATCCAACAATTCCTAAATATGTCATCGATATTCCTTTCAAAGATTTATTCCTCATCCTCTTGGCATTTATTCGCAATCATCTTTTTTTTTGCTGTTATATTTACTTTCGTTTACCGCGGTTCGATTGTGTGACCAGTTTTCCTTCTTAAAAGCAACTCGCTGCACCAAAATTAAAAGTCGTCTATTGGGTCTCACGAGAATGAGGACAAAACCTAAAACAATAAAAAAAACTGTTGAAGAACAATTAAGTAAGGGTTGTTTAACTGGAACAATGGGGTATGTGTTATATTCACCTGGTACGACACCAGGTGAACATGTCACATACCCCAGAGGGATAGGTAAATAACATGCTTATTTTTCACGTGTGAGCTTTCCAAAAGCAATTGCTTTTGAAAAATCTTTAATTTATTTCTCTAGAGATGCTCATTCCCAAAACCTTGAATTGTTTGAGGTTGAATTCTAAAATAAGGAAATTTTTTGGTCAATTCATATGGAGTAGTCAAACAGTAGTTTTAACATAAAGAGATGAGTGACTCAGAGAAATACGGATTCTTAACGTTAAGGCAGGGCAGTTTGGAGACTCTTTTGGACCTTCTACCGCGACAGATTTTTGTGTCAGGCGTCCGACGAGTCACATTGCAAGCCAGGCTGTTCTCAGGTAGACGTTTGACAGCTTGGCTTAGGGGTAGTTTGTAATACAACCCACGCGATTTTCTGGGTGGAAAGGGGGACCGTTCACCTCTGCGTGGCCCCGCTGAAAACTGAGTAAGAATCAACGATTTCCAAATCAATATTTATCATCAGAAGTTAACGCAATCGCAAGTGAAACCGATTGACGACCCACGTTAAACCTGTTAATTAGGTGTACATCAACATTCATATTCATGTTTAAGGTTTGGTAAAATGATTGATCAGCGCCCCACAGCCTTTACTGCTCCATTATTTGTC